ATTATAAGTAAAAATAACAAAGGTTTATTTAATGATTATCCAGCTTGTAATTTTTAGAAGTTCATATTTAATTAAAAAAAATCTTCTCTCTTCTTTTCTTCTGTGAGCAAGAAGACTTAGATAAGAGTTCTGTGAGGAACCTTGGAAAAGAAAGTTATTGTTTATCTTTCATTATCTCTGCCAGAGCTTCAGGCTTTCAGTCTCCTGTGAGCTAAATATTCAACACATTCTCACTCCCAGCACGCCAAAAACAAACGCTTGGTTAGCCACCCTCCGCGTCAGACCCCCGACGCCAAAAGTGCCCTTTTTCATCACTTATGTGTGAAAAGGGGTTTTTCCCTTCTCTGACTGCAGATCCCAGTGCAGCGTAAAACTGACGAGATGGGATGTCCGCTGATGCGGAACCAGCTCATTTAACCACACCTAAACCTTAACGTTTTGCTATTTATAACCTTCCCCTCTCCCTCATCCTAACCTTAACCCTCTTGCTACCTAAAGCGTTACTCTCACTGTGATCAAGCGTTTGTTTCCCATGCATTCTGACTGTGAATTTTCGTATTTGCCGCCCAAGGGGAATGTTAGAACATACCATCTGGTGAGGGGGAGGTTACAAATACCCTCTACTTTTAACCTCCACCTTGGTAGTTGAAACCTCCCCCTCGCGTTGCCTCCTGCGGACATCCCATCACGTCAGTTTTACGATGCATTGGGATCTGCAGTCAGAAAAGGGAAAAACCCCTTTTCGCACATAAGTGACAACAAAGGGCACTTTCGGCATCAGGGGTCTTGACGCGTAGGGTGGCTGACCAAGCGTTTGTTTTTGACGTGCTGGGAGTGAGAATGTGTTGAAATATTGTAGGTTGTGTCATAGCTAGGGTACGTTGACCTGGCTGTGGATTTGACCTGTGGGTCTCAAAATCAGGCCATTTCATGACATTACACCAGTCAGTCAAATGGAGATCTCCCTTGTGCAAGTAGTCAGGGGCGCATGATCAATCGGGTCACAGTGACCGGACACTCACACTGTCACAGAAGCGTGACATTCTGTCTCAATCTGTCCCCCTGCTGATATTCTGCATTCCGTATTCTGCGCTTCAGGCTCTGTGTGTGTGTGTGCGCGCGTGTGTGTGAGTGTGCCCGCTTGTGTGCGTGTGTGAGTGTGCGCGTGTGTGTGTGTGCGTGTGGGGGTCTTGTTCTGTGTGAAAACAAAGCAGTACAAGTGATAATGCTGCAGGATTTCATAATTGTATCTTCTCAGCAGCAGCACTGCAGGTGCTCTCCATGTCCAACACGTGCGTAAGCCAGGTCCTTAGTCAACTTAAAGTTGCGCACATTTTTCCGCTAAGTTTTCTTTCATCAATCCCAAAGTTTGCGTGGAAAGTTGCTTACGCAGTTTTCGACCCTGTTTTGTGCGTAAGCAAGCTTGATAAATGAGGCCCCGTCCTGTTTTTTTTTAACTAATAAAGCAAATGGAGATAAGCACCAGGTACCAGATGTTTTACACTGCTCTCATATTTGACGTTCTATCTGAGCTGTTGTGGCTGCCATGTTCTGGAATCGTGGCGCGTAAAATAGACCCGCAGCAGAAATTTTGCAGAGCGATGCAACACTACTCTTCTGGGAAGCGATGCTTTGCAGCCAATAGAAACACATCCGTCGATTAAAAAAGTGGCTTATTTCAGACGTCACACGGCATTTATGCACCCAGTAGAAAGTCGGGGGTTGGAAACAACTGCTGCAAACTTTTACAATGTTTAGTCTTGGATTCTGCACATAAAAACACACATTTTATATAGTTTTAATCTGCACACAGATATGCTTTTATCACCAGACACCACATCACATTGTGCACATTACACAGCAGAGATGCTCAGTAAAAGTTGTCCCAGTGCAAAACTCTCCCGCCTGTAATCGTAAGCATAATCACAGAAAAGCTAAAAGAAGCTGCAGAGTTCCTGCTTCCTTCTCGTTCTGCTCTCACACCTTCAGCCGTCCGTCTCCTTAGCTGTGTTCAAATGATTGGTTAGCTTTAAAGGTGCATTCTTAAAGCCTTCCATAAAAGCTGGTTCAAACCTTTGATCAAATGTGCCTTTAGCCACTGAATAATGTTTAATTATACACACTGGAGCAAAGACTCCCAGACTGTTGCTCTTCAACCCTCGATTCCTCATAGCGGCCCTCGCCATTAAAATAAGGCTAATCAGTTATAATTACTGCAGCCAGCAATATGGCTCATGTGTGGAGGAAAATCTAACAATCACACAAACAAGTTAGGATACTTAATTAAAGGCAAGGAAACATTCATTATAAAAAACTGTGATTTAAAACAAATAAAGAGTATTTTGACTAGGTTTTTGTTTAAATGATTATACGCAGTTAGCTTTACTACAACGGCAGAATGATAGTACCTTATTATCATTAAAAAAACGTTATTTAAAAATAAGATTTTGAGTATTTTTGAAGCATTGGACAGCCCTAATTTACAGTTAAAGCCGCCACTTTGTTTGCTAATGAAAAGCTAAAGCTTAAGCAGGTCCGTCTGTTAGGAGTTATTTTCACACAATAAACTCAAAAACACAAAGGTTGTCGCCCTCATCCCACTCGCTAATTCAGTCCAGATGAACGGCTGGCAGTGATGGCAGCCTTAACAGATATGGACTAAAACGTGTTCAGTAATTAGAGGGTTAATTATGTTTAGATTAAGTCCTTACAGACGTCTCCTCCCTTACTCACCCTTTAACGTGTCTCATATTTCGTGTGTTTCTCCCTCGCATCGTTCCTCAATATGCTGCCCACAGCTGCTTCTGTCGGAAAACTGTCCAGCTAATTAACTGCTTGGTCTGTGGTTGTAATAAGAATCTTGACAGCAAATGAACAATACATCTGCTACTCTTAAACATTTCTAATGACACCAGATCATCTTTTGGCCCCACTGCATTGCCTCCAACCCGTTAAGGGGTTTTAAAACACGCTTAGAGAATGCTGTCAAGGCACTGTCGTCTTCATCTGGGCTCCTCTGTGCAGATGTTTTCTCTGAAAAAATACACATCTTTTCATTTCGACTCAAAAATTCTGGTTTGATTTAAATGAAGACTTAAATAAAGCATAAACTACAAAATAATAGCAGAACAAAGCATCTAAAGGAGTTGGAAAGTATGTTTCGTGTGTCTGAAGGTCATTTTGCATCCATTGTCTGAATTTATTGGGCAGAAAAGTCCATCCATCCGTCTTCTGAACCCGCTTTGTCCACACAGGGTCGTGGGGGGGGGGGCTATCTCCAGCAGTCAACGGGCAAGTAGGCGGGGTACCCCCTGGACAGAGAGCCAGTTGGGCAGAAAAGTTACAAACGTAACATTTAATTCTAAAACATTCGAGAATAGAAATTATTTAACAAGTTTATAAAAGAAGCAGCTAAATGAGAACTTGTTTGGAGGTGTGCTTCTGCAGAGAAGTTACTAACAAATAAAATCTCACCTGCTGTAGATAGGTCTTTGAACAACCTAAGCTTGGAGAAACAGAGATCAATCAGACCAAGTTGGTGAGCCAACGGTTCTGATTCACAGCAGAAGTTTTGACTTGAAATCAATAAGGAAGGCTCGGATGTGAGAACTGGGGCTGAGTTCCATTTAGAAGCTCTGCTTGTCAGCATTTATAACAGAACAGCCGTTGGAATGCAGCCCACCTGTGAACAGAGTTTATACACTTTTATAGACCTCCATATTGCCATAAATGTATCAACACACAATAACTTACAGGGAATCAATAATTGTTAGCATTGTGGCTAGCTGTAGAGATGTCACTTTTGGTTAACATTTGGTATTTTCTATCTTGTTTCATTTTTGTTATAAGAGGATTTTTAAAGATTGACAAGAGTCCCTTTGTAACTGGCCTCATTTCGACTAGCCATTAGCTTGTCAATCTTGTCATGCCTGATCTCTGTTTCACTGAGCGGAGGTTGTTCATAGAGCGCCCTACATCAGTTAATTGGTTTGAACATTTTTCACTAAACTCTACTGCAGCTGATCTGAACTACTCTTTAAAAGACAATTACAGCGATGTGATAGTTTGATAAATTATTATTTTAAAAATACAGATAAATGATAGATTTAGTCATTTCTGTGGTGAGATGTGCTGATGTACACGTCTATGTTTGCTTTAGTTATCCTAGTAAAACTCAAAATACAGCCAAATCTGTCTTTTATCATAATAATGGTTCAAACATTGATTCAACCAGTTAAAGTGAGTTACAGCGAGTGCGGCTCTAGGCGCTGTTATTACTTATAAAGAGTAATAACCCATATTTAAACATGAGCTCTTCTTCCATCATGAAGATGCTCCGATCATAAAGAGGTGGCATCATTTCCGCCCAGGAGCCGGCTTTAAAATGTTATTACATGCTGCCATTAAAAGTGGCAGAGAGCCTGTGCGTAGGAACAGTGGTGATAGAGTAGAAAATCTGGCGCCAGCTCCCAGGGTCCATCTCCGGAGGAAATGGAAAGCAAACTTGTGTAATTATCAAACTATATAACATGTAATTTAGCTAAAATACAACTTTTCTAACCATCATTTACCGATAAAGTTAGGATTTGTATAGAATTATCCACTGAATGATTAATCGCTGTCATATCTGACAGCAGTCCTGAGACAAAGTCCTTAGAAGAAGCAACAAAAGCAGCTTGATCAGGATGATTTAGAGGCTCTGCTGGCAGTTAAACTGGTCTCCAGTCGACATTGTGAGCTGTAAATATACGTGTCACCTCTCTAAGAAGTATCTTTCTGCAAATCTGCATGAAAAGGAGTTTTGTTTATGAAAGATAATGTTCCAGCTGCTTCATTTTTAGGGTTTTTAATGGGAAATATGTTTTTTAAGATAAGAAGCTGAATTAAAAGACCTTATTAGGAATTTCAGAGCCTGAATCCTTTTAAACAGGATGTGAGTTTATGATTCATGTAATTTTTGGATTAATTCTCTGCTGGTTTCTTTTCATCTTTTATTAAAGGTTACCCTAACATTGTGGCAACGTACGGTCGAGGATACACTGGATTCGCACCCAGCTACAGCTACCAGTTTCCTGGTGAGTTAAAGGCTATCTTAAAATATACGTTCCACCTGATTTCTGTTTTGCACTCTCAAGCAGCACAGTCAGACACACACACACACACACACACACGCACACACACACACACACACACACACACACACACACACACACACACACACACACACACACACACACACAAATCCAAAGACATAAATCTTCATCAATATACACATCAGTCACCAAATAATCTTCCAGGTTATAAATACGCTACGTGTCGAGGTTTCTCAGCGAGGTTTATAGCGGAGTAAATTGCTCGCTGCTTTTTATCCTGTACTTGAACACCAGCATGACCAAATGTCTGAAATGGGGAAAGTTCCTCGTCTTCCTTTTCTTCTCCTCCAGCCGCCCAGTGTATGCAAATTCCTCCGTGGAGAGGTGGACAAAACGAGCAGCTCTTTGTGTAGGCAGATTTTTAAATGTGGTGCTTATAATGGAAAATAAAGTCATTTTCTGCATTAAAAGTGTTGACTCAGAGTGGCGGGCACTTTAATGGAAGTCCAAAGGAGAGGCGTGAATTCTGGAGGTGAGCAGGCGTAGCTGCGAGCTGCACGAGGGCTGCTGGTTCGTCACTCAGACAGGCATCCTGTCAATTTCATCCTTTATTTAGGAACCTCACACTTACTTTGTTTGCCACTCCAGACGTCATTCTTTCCACTGATAAGATGGAATGGGGAAAAATCTTAGAGCACCACAGATCTGTGTAATAATCTTTGTGGAATAGATTCAGAAATGGCAAGACGGGGGTCCAGCTGCGACCACCTGCCGGTCAGGCATATGTTGGGTTTTCTGTTAGACCACAGCTTTATGCGACAGAGGATGCTGAATGCACCACACAGCCTAGACTGGTTCCACATAGACCCGCATGTCGTTTTGCACCTATACCATCACATCAATTCCAGTGGTTAAACACAGAGGATGGACACAATGTGACCACACAGGTCAACCTTTGTGGCAGCTTTTAGCTAAATGAGAAGAGTCACTAACCAAGGGACCAGACCAGCCTGGGTCGAGGAGACCAATCAACACAGAACTGCAGCTGAAATATTAAAAACTTCCTGCTGGACTTGACATCTAGATGCTGAATATGTTTTTGCTTGTAGAAAATTTATGATGGATTTAAACATTAGTAAAAAACTGCATGAATTTGAAACTGTGCTTGTTTAATGAAAAACTGAAGTGTACTTTAGTTTTGGCTCATCATCACTGTCAGGTAGCCACTATTTCTCTACACTAAGGCTGTTTTGGAAGCTATTCAGTTTAGTTAAGATAGTAATTGTTTAAAATGATTGGGGAACTATTCATGATTCCAATAGAACAACATTTTTTTTATTTCTTTTGTATTGAAGTTCTGAGAACATCCCAAATCCACGGGCTACCCTAACCCGACAACAATCAGATTAACTATGAAACATTCATTTGGACCACACTATAAATGTAAAACTTCGTAATTGTGATACGACTGTGTGGAATACCACTATTGCAAATAATGCTCGGACTACTACACTGTAAACCCGAATAAGTTCCCAGAACTCAAAAATTTTGAGGCAATCAATTGCCTCAATTTTTTTGAGTTTTGATACTGAAAATTTTAAGTTTTCATAAATAAAATTTCGTAATAAATTTTACTCATACATTTGAAGTTTATTAAATTAAAATTGCTCATCCAATCAACTCAAAAGTTCAACTGTACACTGTAACCTCAAATAAGTTCACTGAACTCAAAATTCATGAGGAAACTGATTACCTAATAATTTTTAAGTTAACTTATCTAAAAACTATAAGTTAACCATAATTTAAAAAATATGACCTGAATAAAATCAAAGCATTTAACTACATCCAACCTATAACTTAGCACGTAAGCAACTTACAAAGCTTTATTTCACTAAACTTGCATATTTCATTTTGATTGAACTTTATTACATGTTTTTACTAACTTAATAATATAACTTATACGAAATCTAAATGGACCTATTAAACCCTAACCCAAATAAGCTGAATTTACTTAAAAGTGACAATGTGGCAGGCTGGTCAAGGCAGTAATTAACACCAGATCATGAATCACACACCCCTAGATGCTAACAGCCAATAAAAGTGGAACACTCAAAGTCAAGTCAAGAGTATCTGGTGTGAACAACCACAGTATTAATAACAATGGGACAGCACAGCCGTACAGCATTACTTTGACCAACCTCCTCACTTATGGTGCCAACATGATACAAAAAGTAACATCACATCTGCAACACTGAACGAAATAATAACTGAGAACAACAATCATCCACAATAAACATGCATAAACACCCCAAAATAGAGCAAAATAACTGAAAATATGACTACCCACAATGCACCACGCCCACCAGTTGTTTATTGTTCCTGAAATCCAACACAATTGCTAGTTTGTGGTTGTTTTTCTTGTAAATCCACAAATATTTAAAATAATATACAAGTCTGTTTATCAGACACACTTTAGGGTTGACGTAAAGATGAATGGAATAATATAGAAACATAACATAATAAATCGATCTTTCTTTGGTTAATATTACTCATTAAAATTAAGTTATTTTTACTTAAAAAAAGAAATAGTTCAGATTAATTAAAACGTTTGAGTTCTATGTATTTAAAACAAGAAAAATGTTGAACAAGCTCAACACATTTGAGTTCTAAAAACAGTTTTTTAAATTATGAGTTTTATCTACTCAATATATTTGATCATTTAGAACTTTAGGGTTTACAGTGTATGAATCATTAATCTGCATGTTTGTCTAACACTGTGCAGCTGGTAACAAATAAAACAAAAATGTTCCAGTTCTGCTCATCTGCATGTCAAAAGCGCATCCCAAACACGCGCGTTGGTAGGAATACATACTAACTGGTTCTGAGTGACCAAAGCTGCAAAGGAGTGATTTAACTCCATCTTTGATCAGTCCTTTATGATCCATGAATACGTCCTAACGTTAAAAATGAGAAGGGATGAACGGAGTGATGAGTATTCTGCAGGAGTAGTTAAACATGGATTTTTAAAATGTTGACTATTTACAACAAATTAAGTCGTATCACCTTCCCTGAGGCAGAACGTATGATCCTATCCATGTTAAACTCAATTTAAAGAGTTAGATAAAGCTGTGTGATTAAAACGGGCTCCTCGGGGCTCGTTCAACTGTTGACAGGTAATTGGAAATTTTAATGTATGAATCAAACTTCTTGTCTAAATTAAACAGCCCCGGGCCAAATATTGACTAGTGTCTTTGCTGAGGGAGATGTGGAAGTCATCCTCGGTTTGGGTTCTTACTGTACACAGAGCCCCGACCACATCCAGCAGGCATTAGCTCCAGGCAGCCTTTCAAAGATTGTTTTTTCCTTTACTCCCAGTAAGCCTCATGGGTCCACCGTTACAGGAGGAAAGATAATGGTAAGGCAATTGTTCGGTTGTCGAGATAAAACAGTGATAAAACATTGATCAGTGATGAAACACTGAATTAAATAGAAAAACTCAATACAACCTACAGAGAGAGAGAGAAAAATCAAAGCTGACATCTCCGCTGCTGTAGAGGAGTTTAAGGGTAGGAAACCAAAGCTGGAACCAGAGAAATAAACTCACCCTGAGCGGGGATGCAGGAAAGGGCTGAAGACGGACAAACAAAATACAAAACTACTGATTTCCATCATTGACGAGTAAACGCAAAGAGATCGATCACAAGTGATGCGTTTAATTATTTAAACACAGCCTGCATATGAAGCGATGGCGCCGTAGCGTAGCGATCCTAATGCACTTAAGGCTTCGGCCTGCCGCATCATCACAACCGCTGATGTTAATCAGATCATCTGGTTGTCAGAAACATGTTTATGCAAGCGAGCAAATATTAGCGCATCGCCCCAGAGGAGAGCCGAGGCGTTGCCCGAGACAGTGGCATTTATTAGTGTTTTAATGAGGTGCTTTAAATGTTTATGTGCCAAGTCCTGCCGAACACTGTCAACAGATGTGACTCTGCCAGGCATAAATGTAAAGTGCTGTAGCTGTGTAATATTTTATATAGTCGATCAAATGAGAGGGAATTAAGAATGAGTGTGTGTTAATGTTGAGTGCGAGCCTGTGGAGAGGCGGTCTTTTTATTTATTGTTTGTATGATTCTGGGTAAGGAACACATTATGAACTCATCCAAAAGCAACAAAGGAGGGTTTCTACTCTACAGGACACAAACAGGATTAGTCGCTGGAAGATAAAATTCATTTGCAGTGGTTTAAAAATAAAAAAACATGAATAAAGACTAATTTATTGTAATGTAATAAGAAAATATCCATACATTTATTATCTTGTCCCCAACATCCTCAGTAGGGTAACGAGAAGCTGCAGTGGATCTCCATCAGTCATTAGGCAAGACGCAGGGGACATCCTGGACAGCTGTCCAGTCACAGGGACACACACTCACTCACACACACACCTATAGGGACAATTTAGAGTCTCTAAGCAGCCTGATGTGCATGTTTTTGGTCTGAGGGAGGAAACCGGTGCGCTTAGAAAATATCCATGCATACATGAGAGGAACATGCTAACACTGTATATAGAAAGGCTGCGCTGGCAGGATTTCAACCGTCAGCTTTCTCGTTACGGAGCAACGTCATTTTAGATATATTTTTAAACATTTTCTAAATGCTTTTTTATATTTTAACTTTTTTTTTTTGTTTTTGTGAAGCGCCTCGTGATTTTTATCTTGAGAGGCGCTATAGAAATGATATTTTCTTCTTCTTCTTCTTCAGTGCTACCAGCTTTTTTAAACATCTTTGGTATGTTCTTGCTGTGTTGCTGTTCTAACTGCAATGTTGGTTCTTTTTTAAAACACAGAAAAGGTTTCTTTTCACCTTGCTGCTGACAGTTTGGTTCGCGGCTGCAAACTTGCTCAGCGTCAGCTCTGAGGAAGTTTGCAGCCGTGAATGAAACTGTCAGCAGCAAGGCGAAAAGAAACCTTTTCTGTGTTTTA